ATCTTCTTTTCACGAACTACTGGGCCAGAAAACCTGAAACTTATGTGGTAGCATCCTGGGGTAGTGTAGATTTCAAGTTGTCTAAATTATGATCAGAGGGGTAAGATAGGGTCACAATATGTATTACAAGGGGGAAATCGGATAAAGAACAGAATGGTCAAAGCTTCTCAGGTGAGCGATGTGGCCCATGGGCCTCTTGTCAGTTTTATTTTGTGGTTTTCTGCAGACAGTTTCTCAGAAACTATTGCAAGGATTTATTTGAAAATTTGTACACTTATTATTCACCATATGAAGGTGTGCACCTGGAATTTTCAACTTTATTTGTTCATTTTTCTGCATTTTACAGGTTTTATTTTTTATTTTAATTGCCTTGTTCATTTTGGGCTCATGTTAACAGTTTAAGGTTTGAGACATAGAATCTAGAATATCTGTACAAAAAAGTTAACTACAGCTTAAAACTACTCATTAAAACTAAAAAAAAAAGAAACATCATCAAGTGTTAAAAACAGTTTTTACATTACAGGACATGCTGATTCCAATAAAACACAAACATAATTTAACATACACATACGCACATATATTTCATGTGGGACATGATGATATGAAATTGGTCACTTGATATTTAAAAAAAAAATTAATAAAAAAATATATCAATTTAACTAATTAATCTCAGAAACTTAATCTATACCAAATTGATTTTAGAAATAGGAGGCTGGCCATCAAATGAAAAATGATATCTAAACTGACCAGCACTTCTGTCCAATTCCAAAGGATTCAGATAAGAGCTGCTTGATCAGAGATATGCTCTAACAGAAATGATTGAGACAGCTAGCTTCCCTACATAAAACTCTTTAATTAATCTTGATGCATGTCCACTAATTACTATCAAGGGATGAATGGATCTTAACTTTCTCCTTTGTAGTGCAATCAAAATGCATAATTGCATGTTTCATTCTGAACTTAAATCTGAAAACAAAGATTTTGTATAACTTTGTTACAAAGATTTATACTGAAAATTTTTAGTGTAATCTTGATGCATCAGTTTGAATAAGGTTCCTGCATGATTATTAGATTTGTAAGGACTACGTACAAATTTTTTTTTTTAAATACTTGATTCATTTGGATTTGATATCAGACTAAAAGTTTCAATCTGAAATTTATATGGAGAATGGACAGAAGTGCTAGTCAGTTTAGATATCATTTGTCATTTGATGGCCAGTCTCATATTTCTAAAATTAATTTGGTATAGATTAAGTTTCTGAGATTAATTAGTTAAATTGATGTATTTTTAAATTAATTTTTTTTTAAAATATCAAGTGACCAATCTCATATCATCATGTCCCACATTAAAGATATGTGCGTATGTGTATGTTTGTGTTTTTATTAAAAGAAAATACATGTAGTGAACACCTCTTCATAGATCCATAAATATTTGTGAAATTGCACCTACTCTGAAAAACCCGCGGGGGTATTTGTCCCTAATGGACAGTTCTAGTTTTTTTTTGTGAATTTCGACCCTAGGGCAGGGGTGCCCCTAAAAAAATCCTATCTTAAATTAATCCTTACATCCCAACGTATCAAAATATCACAATTTTATTTAGGGGCAGGCCTGCACTGAAGGACTTCTAGGCTAAAATTCATGCAAAAATCAACGTTTTAACGGACAAAGTGGTGTTTCGGCCAACTTAAGAGGTTTATTGTAAAGTTGTAAATAATTATTTTTATGCCCCCCTTCGAAGAAGGGAGGGCATATTGCTTTGCTGCTGTCTGTCGGTCGGTAGGTATGTCAGTCTGTCAGTCCATTTAGTTTCCGTTCATTTTCTTCACAACCATTGCACATACTGAAATGAAATTTGGTATACAGGTATATCACATAAATTCTAGGTCAACTTCTATTTTGGTGTGATTGCACTATTTTTGACAGAGTTATCCCCCTTGGACTTAAAAAAATTCCAATTATTTGCAGTTTCCGTTTATTTTCTTCAGAGAGGTTGCACATACGGAAATGAAATTTAATATACAAATTTTTCAGATGAATATGTAGGTCAAGTTCTGTTTGGGTACAATTGCACCATTTTTGACAGAGTCATGCCCCTTGGACTTGGAAAAATTCCAATTATTTACGGTTTCCGTTCATTTTCTTTGCAGAGGTTGCACATACATATACTGAAATGAAATTTAGTATACAGATTAATCAGACAAATATCTAGGTCAACTTCTGTTTTGGGTACGATCGCACCATTTCTGACAGAGTTAAACCCCTTTGGACTTTTTATTTGCAGTTTCCATTCATTTTCTTCAGAGAGGTTGCACATACTGAAATGAAATTTAATATACAAATTTTTCAGATGAATATGTATGTCAAGTTCTGTTTGGGTACAATCGCACCATTTTTGACAGAGTTATGCCCCTTGGACTTAGAAAAATTCCAATTATTTACAGTTTCCATTCATTTTCTTTGCAGAGGTTGCACATACTGAAATGAAATTTAGTATACAGATTAATCAGACAAATATCTAGGTCAACTTCTGTTTTAGGTACGATCGCACCATTTCTGACAGAGTTAAACCCCTTTGGACTTTTTATTTGCAGTTTCCATTCATTTTCTTCAGAGAGGTTGCACATACTGAAATGAAATTTAATATACAAATTTTTCAGATGAATATTTATGTCAAGTTCTGTTTGGGTACAATCGCACCATTTTTGACAGAGTTATGTCCCTTGTACTTAGAAAAATTCCAATTATTTACAGTTTCCATTCATTTTCTTTGCAGAGGTTGCACATACTGAAATGAAATTTAGTATACAGATTAATCAGACAAATATCTACATGTAGGTCAGCTTCTGTTTTGGGTACGATCGCGCCATTTCTGACAGAGTTATGCCCCTTTGAACTTTAAAAAATTCCAATTATTTGCAGTTTCCATTCATTTTCTTAAGAGAGGTTGCACATACTGAAATGAAATTTGATATACAGATTGATGAGATAAATATCCAGTATAAGTTTTGTTTTGGGTACGCTTGCACCATTTTTGACGGAGTTATGCCCCCTTGGACTTGGAAAAATTCTATTTTGATGGGAGGGGGGCATAAGTGTTTTACAAACATCTCTTGTTATGTATAAAATACAAAGAATGGGTGGACTTAATGCCCTATTTTGGATCTTTTTGCGACTACTCTACCAAGCTGTAAATGAATTGAATGAAAAATATATTACATCCAATAGAAAGAGCTGCATATACATGGTTATATTAGGTAATATGTTTGTACAAAAGCAACGTCCCTTTGCCACGAATCAAAATTGAAGCAAAGATACATTAGTGTCGTGTTCCGGAATTTGACATGTACCTGGAGTGGGTTTTAGGTCTCGTAATCAATATTAATAGGAGGCGGGACTATCGATCGGCATCATTGTTGACACCTTTCTATCCCCTCTCTCTCTCTCTCCAAAAATTTGAATACGTGTTTGGCATATTACAGCGTTGTCAATATGATTTTTTTAAAAAAGAAAATGTGAAAACACGCAAAATTTAAAAAAAAAACACATTTGATTTGCTAATTTCTGAAAATGGCTGCACCAAACACACTAAAAAACTGATTAAGATCAAGGTCAGGTTAAAGAATACAGTGTTTATTGTTTTCACAAGTACACTCGCAGGTGGACATCAAGTGATGAATTTATAATATTCAACAGGTCAATCGAAGTGGTTAACACAGTCATAACAATAGAGGGAGAAGCTTGTTTTGATTTTTGTTAATTTAAGTATGAGCGCACATTTGTTGGCCCTTCTCTTTTTAATATGACATTAATTTGTTCAATATACAACTACAGTTTTCTTAAGAACAGCAGACAAACATATGCGCTATGTATTCAGATGATGAAAAACGCGTGACCCTGATTATCTATTGATATTCAAAAAAACTTCAGGTACCATGCCTTCGATATTTATTTAGTTTACCTCGAAAAGAGCATTTTAAAGTCACATCTGTACCATGAATACATGGTTAAGATATCGGGGTTTTATATGATTTTAAAAAAATAAACATTTTATGAAAGTTTAATTAACGGCATTTTTCTGGCCAGTTAAGTCCACCCATTCTTTGAAAAATTTAGACATATATACAGTAGAAAACAACAAATAAATATTAATTTTAAGATGTCACTTTTTCCAGGAAATTGTTCTCTCCTATAGGTCAGTTCTTTTGTCATTGTGAATACATCCTTTCCCTGTGATTCCACTGAAATTGTAATAATTTAACAATACCTCAATAACTCCATGTGGGCACAGCTCGGTGTGAAAAGGCCTTTTGGTGTTAGTGTGGGGTTTTATTGATCATATAGTGAAAATTAATGCATTTATTTATTTGTTTGACAGTATTCTCCTCTGTTCCAGAATACTTAAGCAAACAAACAAATTGCATGCTTATGATTAGCAAGATTGCCTTTTCCCAAATTGGGTCAGGAGCTAGGGTGTTAGGTCAAGGCTTATGTTGATTATTCAGTGAAAGTGCAATAATTAATTGAAAAAGTTGTCTGATCTCGAAGGCAAACAGAGTACTCTTCATATGTACAACATCACTCGTTGGACAATATGGTTTCAGAATTTGGAGGCCATTGTTGATCAAGTATCCTTTTCTACAAAAATCTGATTCCCTCAACTCCAATTACAATTTTTGCATTAACCAATTAATCTTTTGGAATTTAGAAGAAAGATTTTGTAGATTTTTAAGGTCAAATGGGAAAAGTTGAAGGACATTCAATTTTTCTTCAGGTTTGCCACCCTCTCCTTTTGTCCTTATGTAGGGGAAAATCATTGTGTATGTTGCAAATCATGCCACTTCATTTTACACATGGACAAACTAATAAACACACACACTCAAGTGCATTACTATATCCCCCTCCAACTATGTATACATTACGAGGGGATATTACATGGAGCTTGTTGTAAAGTTAATTGATGATACATTTAAATTTAATTTATTATTTATTAATTCTTAAGGACCTGGAAAATGAAAAAAACCCTCAGCTAGAGGAAGTGCCAATAGATGACATTCTGGAAATGCAGCGTGAAGAACAAATACAGAAACAACAGGAAGAGGAACGCAAGAAGAAGTCTATGTTAGAACGTGGACTGCAGCCTCATTCTGAACTTCATGATGACCTTTTTTAAAGTTCATGTACAATTAATTTTAATAGTCGTAAACTAATGAGAGATTCTTTTAGGTATAAGAGCTATGGATGACATTTTTCTACCAGCTCAAAATGTCAGATTCAAAAACTTTATATATATACTGCAATAAATATTCTGTTTTGCTACTTTCATATGTTTATCATTTCATGTTTCTTTTTGTGAAGTGTTTAAAATCATGAACATGTCATATCATTATTTAGTTGTTATTTTTTGTGAAAATGTTGCTGTAACAAGGTGTAAATTCAAAGGAGAATGTTGCTAGCACAGTGTGGCTTTGAAAAAAAACAGTTTTGGTTAACATGATAATGGATAGGTATTTATTCAGCACAATTTGAAGTGAATATACTTATCCATGCCTCACCAAACACAATGTGGTGGACAGTTGCTCAAACAATAGAAATACATCTTTTGCATAAAAGTGTTCAAACGCAGCAATGTATTATTATCCCTGCTCTGGATTGCTTTTAAAAACACCCCCAGTAAAAATAAAAATATACCTGTGTCTTTATTAAATGAAAAGCAAATTTGTGGAAAATAAAGCTACCTGAGCTATGTAAATAAAGCTATGGTTGGTCATTCAACCTATGTAGCTATATGTACTGTTTGTACTGTACCTTAAGATGTAACACGTGTGAAATATTAGAGCCTAAGAACCAACTGTTCAAAAGTTATGGCAATGGTTATTTTTATTCAAATGTAAGTCAAAGTCATGGTCAAAATTATTGGTTTCCCAAGGAAAGTCTTTTCTTAAGTAATACATCTGTGGAATATGAAAACCCTAGTACAAGATGTTCGAAAGTTAAGGCCAAGATTAAAAATTTTAGGTTACCTGCTTTTCACGTTTTCGACTTCTGCAGAATCACTGGGCCAAATTTCAATCAAACTTGCCACAAGATATCCTTTGGTAAAGATCATTAAAATTTGTTCAAATTATGGGTCGTGCCTTCTTCTAAGGGAAGATAATTTAGAATTAGTGAAAATTAATGGCATCTTATAAAATCTTCTTCTCAAGAATCAATGGACAAGGTAAGAACAAAACTTTAATAAGGGGTAGGGTGTTGCTTTGTACATAGGAACAGATAGAAAAAAAATCCATAGGATTTACATAGGAATAGATAGAAAAAAAAATCTTCAAAACCACTTGGCCAAGAAAGATGAAACATGTTGAATCGTCATTAGGAAGTGTAGATTTAAGTTTGTTCAAATCATGAACCCCCCCCCCCCCCCCTTCCCCTCCTTTGATGAGGTAGGACGATGCCAATAAACTTTACTCGGAATCCACGGAAAAAATCTTCAGATCCAACTTATATGGAATCATCCTCAGGTAGTGTAGATTCAAATATGTTCAAATCATGACCTCCTGGGAGTAAGGTGGGGCCAAATTACGTCTATTTAGGAACAAACTTTTTGTAGAATTTGTTTCAGAAAATTCATCTGCTCATTTTTTTCTATATATCTGTCATTAAAAATATAAATATAATTATTAACCTTGTTATTTATTTGATCTTTATGAACGATTTACTGGTCATATATGTATACGACCCTAGTACAAATTAATCATGTCACTAGATAATATTATGTGGGAAAGAGATGTTCCTTTGATTTAAAGAATTAAATATCGATCACTTGGCATAAATACAACAGTTCGTAATCCCTCTAGAACTACATTCATCACACATTAAGAACACTTCATTATAGAAATAGCTGGTGCAACACCGAGAAGAATTATCTAAATGTGATTTTGCAATCGTAGAATTTACGATACCCGTGTGAAACGAACTGTAACGACCAAAACATTTCAAACTTTAAAATATTTGACAATATTGCGTAAAGAACTTTATTGAAAATCTGACAAAATGTCGTGCACATAAGGAATTAAACATTTCACCAATCGATATTGAGAGTGCATTGATTTTATACGGCATATTTTGATCAGCGGTTTCATCTTCGTTCAACAAGTACGTATGGAACGCCGTCACTGCCTTATAGCAGAACACAACAATTGCATTGAGTCAACCTTCTATTACGTTATGTCAACACTTTATGACATTTACTCACACTACTATTGTATTGTGTCAACCTTCCATTTATATAATAGTGCTGCATTATGCATGTACTATGCCTAAATAGTAGGCAGGGTTTGACACATGGTGCACGAGCCGGAGGCGAGTGCACTATGTGTCAAACCCTGCCTACTATTTAGGCATAGTACATGCATAATGCAACACTATTGTTATTATTATGCTGACTGTTGTAATTATTTAGGCTGCAATCCATTTGACTTTTTCCTGAAAATATCGTTGCTAACACAGCGCACTTGCAAGAACTCATTCAAATCTTCATGCTAAAATTGGTTGCATGCTTAGTTATTTTGGTTACTAGTTTTTTCTCTAAGTAAGTCGGGATTTTCTGTCCCAAAGCAACTCATCTTTATTTTCTGTTTTGTTAGATCTAGTATATTGTTGTTTGTTTGCAGACGTCGATTCTCATTGATAATTTTCTTTTACATCCTTCAATCAAGCGTCATATAAAAAAGCGTTTTAATGAGCCTATGAAATCAGTTCATCTAACGATCTGTATGTAATTAGTTCGATACTTTGTTGTATACATTGATCTAATGTCCCTTATAATAATATAACTGTTTTCAAATACTATTTGTCTATTTTTTCCTTCTTGTGTCAATTGTATAAATTAAGTTTATATATTTAATAAAATTCAACTTAGTAGTGATCGTCTCTGCGGCGTAATCGATAAGGCATCGGACTGACAACCTCGTGATCGTGGGTTCGATTCCCGGAGTGTGCATTGAAGAATTTTACTCAGTAAATAAAGCCGTGCACTATTTCGACATAGTATGTTTACGCTATATAAATCCTTAGACCACTATGCGAGAATAGTAGGGTATGGGTTATATAGAGACAAACTGACAGGAAACATAATAATACATGATGTCAACTCTTTATGACATTAACTCACACAACTATTGTATTGTGTCAACCTTCCATTACATCATGTTAACTCTCTATGACATTAACCCACACTACTATTGCATTATGTCAATCTTCCATTACATGATGTCAACTCTTTATGACATTAACCCACATATACTATTGCATTATTCAACCTTCCATTACATTATGTCAACTCTTTATGACATTAACCCACACCACTATTGCATTGTGTCAACCTTCCATTACATTATATTTACATTTGCTGATGTCTTTCCTTATATAACAATGATAATAAAATTGAAATTCAATTTTCAATGACATGCAGTTGGTCACATGATCAGACTTTCTTGCGTATAGAAAGCAAACTGCACGAGCAATTTGGAATGTTCCGACTGTGACGTCACATGACGTTGTAGATACGTTACGTTGCATTTTAAAATCAAAATCTAAAAAATGCCTATATTTCTTTATAACATGAATAAAAACGTAAAATATAAATATAAGAAATAAAATATCATTTTTTAGAGTTTCATTGGGGTATGACATGATGTCATTCGGGCGTTATAGAATTTGATCACGTGACCGACTTCATGTCATACCACAGGGGCTTGTGTAGAAAAAATAAATCAGTTAAAAAAGTTAGTACCTCGGAGAAAAAAACACAAGGGAGGACGCCATTTTGGATACCACCTCGCTTCATCAGCTATTTTCTAGCTTAAATTGTAAAACTAGACATATGAGCCGGTTTTCTGCAGATGCAAAGGAGTTGTCGATTTTGGATGTTTGCGCGATAAATTGACCAAGACGTTAAATGTAGACAAACATAAATTAAAACTGCAAGTAAGACATTCAAGAAAAAACATTTATTAAGGGATATGAACCGGCTCATATGTCTAGTTTTACAATTTAAGCTAGAAAATAGCTGATGAAACGAGGTGGTATCCAAAATGGCGTCCTCCCTTGTGTTTTTTCTCCGAGGTACTAACTTTTTTAACTGATTTATTTTCTCTACACAAGCCCCTGTGCTACAATTATATTTTGTCAACTTGCATTTAGTTATGTTTACTGTTCATGACATTTAATTAAACAACAATTACACTGTGTCAACCTTTCATTACATTATGTCAATTCTTTATGATATTAACTCACACAACTATTGAATCGTACGTACGTGCCAACCTACCATTACATTATGTCAATTCTTTATGTACCAAAATCGTACCATTATTTCAACACCAATTTACATGATGTAAATATATCATATATATAATATCAACTTTGTATTACATTATGTAGATGTATTCATACATAATATAAACGCTCTTTATATTGAAGTTGGTAGTACATTTATGTGATGCGAAAATAGTAAATACACTACGTCAATATTTTATAACGTGATATGAATATATGTCTTAAATGTCATGCCAGTCCTCCACTCCATGATTTGAAATTTTATATCACTCATGCTAAAAAACCATCTTAGTTTTTATTAACTGATGTGAAAAGCTCATGTCATACTGTGCGCACTCTTCTACATTATGTCGATTCACTATTACGTTATGCGAACGCGGGTATCCTCGGCCTTTATGTGAGCATAACGTATTTTCCGTGTTCCGCAAGCACTAAAATTGTTGGGAGAGAAAACTGTCGTAGAAGAAATTCTCAGCGATTTTGGAATGACATCTTTAATAAAAACTTTAAGCGACAAATGAAACGTGCAAAGCCTTAACACTGCTACTGTGAATTAAAGTCACGTGGAAATTCAATGGCGTTTACTTTAATCTGATAATTAAATAAATCAAATATTATGAGTCTTGCACCAATTTATTTTCTCTTTTTATTTTTATTTCTTTTTTTTGATAAAAGTCTTAAACTTCTGATCTTACTAAGAACATTTTCATCAGTCTTTAACTTTCCTTTTTTTAAGGTGTAAACACATCGTATAACACACATGCACTGGTGGATTGGGTTGGGTTGGGTTGGGGGGGGGGGCAGAAATCCCGCCCTACCATCTTTAGTGACCAAAATATACATAAAATTAATAAAGAGCCATAGCTGCCTTTCCGACGACACGGCCTATACAAGTATTTAAAAGGAAATCACCTGTTTCTATTTATAGATACATGTATCTTTTCAATTCAAGATCATACTACATGTACATGTATGTAATAATCATTTGTGGACCAGTGTTATTATTTTCATAGTTGCAAGTTTGTTACATGACAATCATTTAAGTAGTTC